TTTAAAATAGAATTAACAATAATATGTAACATATGTATATATATAAATATATTTATGTACAATTCATTTTTATTTATTAGCAATTAATAAAATTATTAAAATTTCTTGATATTTACTTTAGTTGAATAATAAAATTTAAATAATTTATATAAACAAATAAAAATATAGAAGTATTATAGCATTGAATTTCTATAATACATACACACATATATATCCACATATATAATACATAATCTACATACATAATAACAATTGATTTGTACTACACAATTATCTTCTTATTATTGTGGCATATATGAAAAATTTAATACAAAAATTGTTAATTTTTTTATATTATGCGCTAAAGATCCCAACTAAATAAATGGTGTTTAACTAACATGTCACGAACACCATCTTTTAGAGGTTGAGATTGTTCTTTCTTGGGTGGTAATTCCCAATCAGGATTTAAATTAAATGCAAATTGACTTAATATTCTTAATTCACATTTAATTTGTACCCAGCCAGGACTATTTATAAAACTCCATGGCTGATACCTGTAAAATTAATAACATATAAATTATGTACATATAAAATAATGTATAAATTAATGATATGATATTACAAATTAATGATGATATTAAATCATCATTATTATTTTTTATAATATTTATTACCATTTTTGCACAATTTCTACACAAGAGCATAAAACTTCAAGCCATAAATGCAATACTTGTTCGTTTAAACCTAAACAAATGAGGGATCGTAACTTCACATCCATTTGTGCATGTGCATTATCATGTGTTAAATTTACCGATTGAACACATCGATATAGTAACTGAAACAAAATTATATAATTATTATATAATTACATAAAAATTTAAATTGAATAATTTATATAATTTAAAAATATAATATTACTTCTTCAGGTGTAAGTACTTTTCCATCTTCATCCAATCTATATGTTTTACATAATACTAATCTGCTATAAACTGAATTAAAATCTTTTTCTACTTCTCTAGTTGAAGCTTCTTCAATAAAAAGCCATGGATGACATGGACCACCTAAAAATGATGGTCTACGCATTCCATGTTCTAATACTGCTTTTATAGCTGGACACAAGGTTCCTCTTACTAAATCAGTAACAGCTTCGCTAACTGCATCATCTCCAGCACATGTATATTGTTTACTTCTTTCATCTAATAATTCTACAAATTTTGCAGGAAACCATCCTCTTAATCCATTAAGTTCTCCTACCCAGCAATGTTCATCTTTTTGACTTATAATTGTAATTATATCATTTTTTCGAAATCCTAATTCATCATCATCATGTCTTTCAAAATCTAATATAATCATAATCATGAAATTTATAAGATTAATTTTTCTTTATAATAATGTATATTATATTATATACAATTTATAATATAAATATTTGTTATTAAAAATACCTAATAATGCTTTAGCTCTTCTTTTTCTAGTCCGTGATACATTTACATAATTATCATGATCTTTTGCATGACTTTCCATACTATAATCTGCTACAAGCACAATATTACTTAATTTTGGATCAACATTTATAAAATGTCTTGCAACTTGCAGAACAGCTTCTCTTAGATCAACCAATATTTCTAAAATATTTATATTATATTTTTATCTTATTTAAATTTTTTTTAAACATTCAGATATGATATAAAATATATATTTTTGTAAAATTAATTAATACCTGTTTGACGAATATTTTTTGATTTTGCATCATCTTCAGTATCATAACTTCCAAATAAAAACGTTTGAAACATTGATTTATTTCTTTTCATTTGACGTCTTTAAGGAAATAGGGATCATTATAATAGTTATAAATGAAACATTATATTATTTTGAATATTCTAATTAAATTTATAATTAAATCTGTGTAATTAAATTCTGTAAATTGAATATACCTATTAAGATGTTGTTTTGGTAAATTTGGTACAGCATCAGGATTACCCACTAAACCACCTTGATCTGCCATTAAATAGGCCAAATGTCTACGTCTGTGAGTTTCAACCAAAACATCTGTTAATGATCCACTTACTTCTAAAGATACCTATGAAAAGATAATTTTCGATTATTTATTTTCTTATTACAGAAATTTATTTATTCATTATAAATTATTAAAAAATTATAGTACATTTATTAATAATAAATGCAAAATCAAACTTACTTTAAATAATAAATCTACATCGTCAATATCTCCAGGTATATCCGAAAGAGCATTAAATATTTGTGCAGAATTTTCTACTTGTTTTAATTCATGTTCTAAAAAAATATTAAATATTTTATCAGAAATAATAATCAT